AACGTCAATAAACGTATTTTTATCTTTAATTGTGTCTTATTCCCAGTTTAATAGTAATTAATTTACAATGCCACAAGAAAATAGCTTCAGATCAATACTTTAAACCGAGAGTTACCGTTATCGGAAAATTAATTAACAACTTACGATATGCAGTTAATACTGTGATCATTGCAATTAATATAGAAGACCCAGGTGCAACAACTAATCGAAAGCTTAAGTATGAAAAGTGCTGAGATGGGAATTACTATAAACTATTTTAATTATCACATCATTAGCTTGATGTCTTATGTGCTGAGGTCACTACTAAAAGTCATCCATAACCGAATATATCACAAACTGGACATAGACGTTAATGATACACAATTTGTTTTTCGCAATGGCTTAGGAACGCGTGTAGCTCTTTTTTCACTTAATATAGTGATACAAAGATGCCTGGATATCTTTCAAGATATATACGCATGTTTTATTGACTATAATAAAGCATTCGATAAAGTACGACATTAACAATTAATGAATGTCCTGAAATCAAAGAATTGATTGACTACAACGACCTCAGGATCATATCAAATGTATACTAAAAACAGCGAGCAGAAGTACGTGTTAACGAACAGCTGTCAGAAGAAATTAAAATTAGGCGTGTAGTGTAACAGGGTTGCGTATTGTCGCCAATCCTTTTAATGTCTACTCCGAAGAAATCCTGAAAAAAGCTCTTGAGGGTGAAACAGCTGGAATAAAGGTAAATGGAGTTTCTATTAACAACATTAGAAATGCGGACGACACTGTGATCTTAGCCGAAAATATTGAACATCTTCAGAGACTGGTGACCACAATAGCAGAGTATGGAAAAAAGTACGATCTAGCAATGAACGTCAAGAAGACGAAATTTATGAGAATATCGAAAACTAAAAGAAATAAGGAGAATCTTCCAATAAACGGAACTAACATTAAACAGGTGGACAAATATGCATATCTGAATAGAATGATTAACGGATTAATGATGAATTAAAAGAAGATCAATATCAAAATAAAAAAGGCTAGGACAAATTTCAACAAAATGAGAAGAGTGCTATGTACAAGGGACTTAAAATTGGAACTAAGAGTTGGGATGGCGAGGTGCTATATTTTTTCGACTTTGTTTTTATGGAATGAAATCTTAAGCCTTGAATGCCACATCAATGAAAAAACTGAAATCATTCGAGCTGTGGGTGTATAGAAAAATTCTGAAAATATCGTGGACGAAGCACGTCATAAACAAAGAGGTTCTGAGAAGGATGAATAATGAAATAGAAATTTGTAAATACAACTAAAACAAAAAAATTAAAAAATCTCGAACATATTATAAGTGGAGAGAAATATACCTTGCTAAAACTGATTATGCAGGGAAAGATCCAAGGAAAGAGAAGCATAGGTAGACGTAGAATGCTATGGCTGCGCAACCTGAGAGAGTGGTACGGATGTGCATTAAATGAAGTTTTTAGAGCAGCCGTCTCAAAAGTCCGAATGGCTATGATGATTGCCGACCTCCGCCGCAGAGATGGCACTTGAAGAAAAACATAAACCCCAACAACACAAGATATGCTAATTACATAAATACCAAAAAACATACAAAACATATTGACAATAAAGGATAACGTAATAAAACAAGTAGCATAAAAATATCATTGAAACAAATAATCATGCTGCAGAAATAAACAGGCGAATAGAGGTTGCCAGAGCAGCATTCATACTAATGAAGTTACTCTTAACGTTCAGAAATCTTAATTTGGAATTCAAACTACGTACCATTCAATATTTAAAAATATCATGGACTGATAGAATTACAAATAAAGAAGTACTGGAGAGGCTTGGTAATGAAACAGAACTAATAACCACTATATAAACAAGAAAACTGGAATACCTAGGCCACGTGATGAGAGAACCAAAATATGAAATTTTGAGACTCATTACACAGGGAAAGATTCAAGTAAAAAAATCTTTTGACCGAAGGCAGAATTTTTGATTGAAGAATCTACGTGATTGGTATTAATGCAGATCGAGCAGATCGATTGATTTGTTTAGAGCAGAAGTTCAAAAATAAAAAAAGTTAATATAATTGTAATAATAAAAAGTGACGTCATAGTGACAGATGACGTTACAGCGCCACTGTGACAGATCATTTTAAATAGGACGTTATGGCAAGTGATACCTCGTTTGAAAGGTATTGGAAATACCCATTCAACTATACATATATTTTTTGATTTTAAGCTTATTTTACTTAAACCTTGTAACTTGTCAAAAGGAGACGTTTTATAATTCTCTAATTGTTTTTATGTCAACGTCAACTTTTTGACAATTAACCAGAAGCGAACGTTAAAGATTTATTAATTAAATGCGAAACTACAATTATTTTAATATAGTTACCTATTCAATCATACTACTTTTGTTTGGATTTAAGGTGATTTTAACGATTAAATTAAATGGCGTTTAACTAATAAAAACTATAACTTGTCTAATTCTTATTTGTTAAAAAAGTTAACGTTTATCTATTCTCTAATTGTTTTTAGTTTACAAAAGACTTTATAGCTTTATACCTGAATATTTAGTTTGTGTTTCTGCTTATTTTAGTGGTTGTTTTTAGTTAATATTTAGTTGAGTTATTATTTAACGAGACGTTTAAATTTTTACACAGGTAGAATGGTATCTATTGTAGCCGATAAAGTAGCAGCTGTGTTAATAATTGGTGAATGTGGAAATAATTTACATGCAGCAGAACTTCTTTTTAATGGGAGGTACCCCGATTGAACTACATCGAGAGCTTATTTGAGAAAGCTTCTTCGGAAGTTTAAACAAACAGAAGCGAACGTTAAAGATAATTGCGAACGCAAAAACAAACAGGTAGTGTTCAAGATATCAAACGATCTGGTCGACCAATAATTAGTGATGACAACAAAATTTACATAATTTCCAACAAATTAAATGTTTTGGGCAGGTATTTTGGGGCACCACATAGTTGTGCCTGTTTTTCTCAATACTAACTTAACCGGTGAAGTGTATCTTGGAAATACCGTTTCAACAAGATGGTGCTCCTGTATACCATTATGGTGTAGTAAAACGTTACCTAGATGAAGAATATCGTGGTAGATGGATTGGACGACGAGGTACGATAGAATGGCCAGCTCGGTCACCGGTCCTCACAAAATTATTTTTTTTTGAGCGGATACTTGAAATTTAAAGTTTACGCTACGGTACCTGACAATATTGACATTTTGAAACAACGAATTTTTAAAGAATGTAGGGCAATTTCCCCCAACACACTTGTACGAGTACGGCAAAAGTTTAGAAATAGGATGCATTACTGTCAGTAGAGTAGAGTAAAGTAGAGTAAATTTTTATTTGCATAAATTTTTAAACATAATTAGGCAAATAACGTCACAATATTAATTACACATTAAAAAAATATACATTGACATCACACATTTAAAATATATTAACATTACAAATTAAATATGCTGATAAAGGAGAACAATAGGCCAAACAGTACAGTATAGGGCTCAATGTCAAATAGGTGTTGAAAAACCTTTGTTGACTTGACTTCTCTCTGTCATAGACAATCTGTGAAGTGGCAAATTCAAATTAAGGCTACTTGTTTTATATGCATGATTGGGAAGTAGGTGATAAAACAAGGAAAATTTTTTAAAAAGGCACATAATACATTCAAATATATAAATGGCTGAGAAAGTGAGTATATTGAGTGATTTGAATCGGCCTTTACAGGATTCTCCCCTGGTCTAGATAGCTCTTTAACACTCTTAATGAGTAGCAGGCTCTATTATTCAGTTGTTTTGTTGCATTTTGTATTTGTTCCCCCCAATTCAGATTCTGGTCAATATAAATACCAAGAAATTTAATTGATCTAGCAGGTTCCTTGTTTTGCGATAGAAAATTAATTGTATCTGGAAACTGTTCTCGTGACTGGTTGGTTCTGAAGTAGACAAAAACTGTCTTGTCAGAATTAAGCAACAACCGATTTCCACTAAACCACTGCTCAGCCTTGCTTAGAATTTGCTCTGCCACGGTGAGGAGTGTTTCTAAAGGTTTTTCCCAGAAAAGCACATTTGAGTTATCAGTGAAATTTACAAGATTTGAGGAACTACTAACCACCGCATTTGAAAGGTCGTTAAGGTAGACCAAAAAGAGAAAAGGCCCCAGAACACTCCCCTGTGGTATACCTAATTTTAAATTGATCGGTTCAGAGTAAACCTTACATCCCCTTTTCTCCAGCCATACCTTTTGCGACTTATCTATGAGAAATGATTTTATCCATTTTAATTCAGGTCCCTGTATTCCATAAAGATGTAATTTTTGTAAAAAATCTCAGGAAGTAGATGGAGTACATTTTGAATACTTACTATAAGAACTGGTTGTTAAATATTTAATAATTAAATGAGAAGCTACAATTTTAGTATTTATTTAATTTATTCATCAAAACGAGCTCAAACTCAAACAAAATTATTATAACTAAATAGATATTTTCAATACCTTTTAAACAAGATATCACTTGCTTTAAGGTCCCATTTAAAACTATCTGTCACAGTGGCGTTGTAGCGTCATCTGTCACTATTACGTCACCTGTTATGACTAGTTAAGAAGCCTACGTCTGTTTATTACCTCCCTCCAAATTTCATTTTTAGAACAATAACGGAACGGGGGTAACGGACTTTCGACTAGCATTGTATATTATATAATAAGCATATTAGAGGTAATACAATATGTCCTAATAGCGCAAATTCAAATTAATGTTAAATTACAAAAAAATGTATAAAATCGTTGAATGAGAAATACAAGATACAAAATACAATACAGATTAAATACATTATTACATAGGACCTAAGATTATAATAAAGCAGAGTTATTCTTAAAAACCAAGCACAAAGTTAAAGTAAATATATGAAGATTTCGAAAAGACCGGATATAAATTCGGGAAACTAGAATCCGATGTAAAATTAGTACTTTCTACTTACCCACAATCTGTTACTTCCAATTTGTTAATACTGGCCTTTAAGTTGGGTATATCAAAATCAAAACTGAGATAAAATTTAAATTGTTTAATATCTCCTATCAGTTCTCCTATAGGGCCCATACCAAGTACATGTATTTCATAGTGATACATAAACTAAAAAATAGAAATAACCCACATTATTATTTGAAAAAATATAACTAAAATATTAAATGTACTTCTTAAAGCTATGGAATGAGTAATTTCGGAGCTTTAAAGAAATTTAAACAAAGTAAACTGGGTAAAGGAGTATGGAATATAGAATTACGGTACCCCACCTATAAGATGGGTACTCTAATATTATTTAAATCACAATAATTCTTTTCTATTATAAATACTAAAATACAGGATAGGATGTTTAATTTAAAAATATTAATTAACTATTACTTTAGGTGGATCTGTTTTGAGTTGGACATTTTTAATAGGAGTCTATTTTGTTGCTGGACTCACTTCAGGATATACTTTGTATCAATAATCTCAACATACGTCAATTGCAAACTTTTTAATTATGCTTTTTATTTTATTTAACAAAACCTGAACAAAAACGAAAATTTTTTTTTCTGTGCCCATATTTTTGCCTATAAATTAAAAGATATTGCTCCTACAAAAAAAATATATAAGGTAAAAGTTTCGTTTTTTAATTTTATATGATATTGACTATGTAGAAATTGAACATTTAATGTTTCTTCTTCTTCTTCTTCGCGTGCCATATCAGATTTATCCGACGTTGGCGATCACCATTGCAAAAGTTTCTCGATCTTCTGCAATATGGAATAATTGTCTTGCATTTGGTATCTGAGTCCATTCACGACTGTTTTTTAACCAAGAAACTTGTTTTCTTCCTACACCTCTACGGCACTCTATTTTGCCTTTAAGGATCAGTTGTAAAATTTTATATCGACTTCCCCTTACTATATGTCTCAGATAAGACATTTTTCGATGTTTAACAGTCTTTAGCAGATCTCTGTCTTTGGTGACGCTTCTTAGTACTTCTTCATTAGTTTTTCTTGCTGTCCAAGGTATTTCCAGCATTTGTCTATGAACCCACATTTCCAATGCTTCAATTTTGTTCATGATCGATACTTTGAACGTCCACACTTCTGCTCTATACAAAAGTACAGACCAAACATAGCACTTAACCATTCTTTGCCTTCGTTCTAAACTGAGATGTTTATTGCAAAGAAATGACTTCATTTTCATAAAAGTAATTTTAGTCATTGCTATTCTTTGTTTTATTTCTATGTCTGGATCTAGTTGGTCCTTTATCATAGTTCCCAAATATGTCATTTTATGAACTTTCTCAACTTTGACTCCGTTCAATTGAAGCTTTGCATCGGGATGTGGGTCACGATTAAACACTAAAAATTTGGTTTTGTTTGAGTTTATTTTGATGCCCATTTCCTCTCCTACCTCGTGAATACGATCAAGCAGAATTTGGAGACCTTCAACATTATCTGATAGAATTACTGTACCGTCCTCATATCTAATCACATTAAGTAGTTTCCCGTTGATTTTTATTCCAAATGGTTGTCTCTCAAGTGCCTTTATAAATAACTGGTCCGAGTAAACATTGAAAAATGTTGGCGACAAAATGCATTATAATAAAACAATAAATAATGTTTACTGTTTAAAATATAGCAATAATTAAAACGATAATTACATAACAAGTGAAAAGTGCAAAAATTTGGTTTTTCTTTTTTTGACCTCTTAAACATAACTTCATATTCTGCCTAAAAAAACTTTATAATACGACTAAAACGTGTGTTAAATTTCCTTTCTTAAACAAAATTTCAAATTTCAATTTAGGAGAGCCTAGTAAATTTTTTAAAGTTATAAACAATTTTTTAGCTTATAAATAAATAAAATAATTTCACGAATTTTTCAGATATTAATTTTAAAATTTGTACACTTATAGAACTTGGAAAGGCGTTTTTTTTAAATGCATTCGGTTTATTGGTTGTCTAAGTGTCGAAGCTTAAAGTTAGCATGCATTTGCCACCTAACCTCTAACCTTAAGTGATAGAGGGATTTAACAAATACCTCCGTCTTGTCGCGTACTTTTTATATACAAATTTTTACGTGATGCACCTCGTGACAACATGCATAAAAAACGACAAAAGAATCGGTTTTGCATAAAATTCACTCAATTTGAATGGGAGGTAGAGAGGGGTATCAACTCGGTATGCCGAGCTAAAATCAAATCAGCGTTCAAAGTCACAACCCACTCCAAAAATTGTATTTTTTCGGCGTCCTGTCACCCGATTTTGTGGTGTTGTAAATATGAGATAAACACCTATTTTATTTGCAAGACGCGAAATCTGCATTAAATAATTTTATGCCATTCAATAAACGCATTTCTGTTTATTTAGTTTTATTTCTTCTTCTTTTCCTCCTCTTTTTCATTTTCTTCTTCTTTTTATGTAGACATAACTCTCTCAGTTTTTAATGTGCCTTCAGTCAGTTATAGGTACAAAAGACAAACTGGAGAGATGGAAAAAATACATTCAGACACTTTTTGACGATGATAGACATTGTTCTCCACCATTCGCGGATAATCAAATAAATAAAAACGGTCCAAAAATAACAAAAGGAGAAGTTATTTATGCACTGAAAGTTCAGAAGAATGGAAAAGCTACCGGTGTATACAATATCAATGTCGAAATACATAAATTAATGGTAGACAACGAAAGCAAAAGCCTCGACTTAATAACAGCATTACTTAATAAGATATGACACAAGTAAAATACTGGCTAAAATCAACATTCATAACATTACTAAAAAATCTAACGCTTTACACTGCGATGACTATCGAATATTAAGTTTGATGTCTCATATCCTTAAAACTTTTCTCAGGATCATTCATATATGAATTTACAAGAAGTGTGAATTTCAGATGAGTGACACTCAATTCGGATTTCAAACTGGACTGGGAACACGACAAGCTCTTTTTACCCTAAATGTGTTGACACAACGATGCAGCGACATGAATGTAGGTATATAACATGTATGTTTTATTGATTATCGAAAAGCATTTGACTGCGTTAAACATAAAAGATGATCAAAATTCTAGGAACAACTGGAATTCACGAACAAGATTTGCGAATTATCTCAGAAATATATTGATACCAAACGGCAACAATTAAAATAGAACAGACAACATCCGACGACGAGTGCGACAAGGTTGCGTCTTATCAGCGCTATTATTTAATCTGTATTCGGAATCTATATTCAGAACATCAGGTAGATGTTCTGAATATAGATTCCAATAGCAAGCAACGTACAAGAACTACAAAATATAACCAATGCGGTAGTTCCTCATAGCGAAATGTTCGGTTTCCATATAAATGTTTCCAAAACTAAAATTCTACTATTTTCAAAGATACCAACAAACGTACATTTGTTAACCAAAGGACAAATAATAGATCAGGTAACTTCCGTCAAATATTTGGAAACAAATATCAATAGCCAGTGTAATCCAAAAAAACAAGTCCTATCAAAAATAGAACAAGCGAGGAAAACACTCATGAACATAAAAACATTTTTTACAAGATCGGATCTTAATCTAGAGCTCAGAATTAGAATGAACGGATGTTACGTTTTCTTTGTTTTGCTGTATAGCTGTGAAAGTTGGACAATGGAATCTAAAACAGAAAAAGAATAGATGCTTTTAAAATGTATATATGTTACCAATGGTGAGGTACTTCGGCACATAAGTAAACAAAAAGAATTACTTAGCATAATTAAAGAAACAAAAATACAATAATTGGGTCATGAAAGAGGTGAAAGATATGAATTACTCCAAATCATACTGGAAGGTCAAGTTCAGTGCAACAGATCAGTTGGAAGACGCCAGAACTCCTGGCTAAAAGACCTAAGGAGATGGTTCGACCGCCCTACAGAAATCTTTTGTGCAGTAGTTTCCTAAGCTACAATTATTGTTATTTGGATCACTAACCTTCGAAAGGAGACGACGCAATTAGAAAAAGACAATAAGTTCACAGTAAGTATCATTTCATCGTTTTCGTTGTCTTTCGTGGATCTTCTTTATATTGAGGAACCGTCTCTTGCCGTCTTTACTACTCTCTTTGTTGTCATTTGGCTTGTATGATAGTTTCATTCTACTCTTTTATTTCTGCTGTTTGTTACATGCTTTTTGTCTTTTGTGTGTCAGGTGGTGTTTATGCCACGTATCTCATTATTGGTCTGATGACTGTTTTGTAAATTCTCAGCTTCATCTTTCCCGATATTTTCATTTCCCCATATTGTTTTATTTAGGTAACCTGTGGTACTGTTAGCTTTTTTAACTTAATCTTCCACTTCTGTTTCGAGCTTTCCGTAACTAGATAATTTGATGCCTTCACATCACATTACTCCATCACTTCATTTATTATCTGACCTTCTAGCTAGAATTTATGTACATCTTAGTAAATTTGCTGTTATAACCTTAATATATAAGACCCGATGGTCATTGTCGTTGACATGAATACTTAAACTTGTTGCTAGGGGTTTATGTTTACAATCACTTTTGTGATGGGATAGGCGCTTGCTAAGTCGATGACTTATGTGGCCTATGTATATTTTGCCACATTCATAGGGTATACCGTAGATTACGTTACAGTTCTTCTCTAGTGGAACTGGATCTTTTAATTTAGAGTGGAACAAATTAATTTTTTTGTTTTTATAATTGTCTATTTTTATGTTAAATTGACTAAATAGTCTAGTTCGAGATTGCGTTAAACCTTCAACGTAAGATAATGATCCATACTTCACCTGCACGACGCTATCAGATGATGACTGATCGTGCACAGATATATCGCCACTTGCACTACGTTCTGTATGGGAATACAAAAGTTTATTAAGCAAATTGTTAGGATAATAATTGCATATTAATGTGTCAAACAACAGTTTTTAATTCTTTTCAGTAAAAGTAGGATGTGAGATTTTTAATATTCTATTTTTCATTGCTAGAACGGTGTTAACTTTCTGTTTCACGGGATGAAATGAGTTAAAGGGTACGCATCTACCGGAATTAGTAGTTTTTCTATACCAATCTAAACAGATGGGTTTATCTTCCGTTCTAACAACTCTTCTATCAAGAAAGGGTACCGAAGAGTTTGACTCCTCCTCAACCGTGAATTGCAAATAAATATTAAATGAATTAAAAATTGTAAGTGTATTTTGTATCTCATTTTGTGGTACTGATGTTATAAAATCATCACCATATTGATAGAGAAAAGGAAATTCGAACTGTGTACTACAATGTAAACTACAATGATATAAGAATGATGGTAATTTATATGGGTAAATTGTTGGTGCATAGTGGAATATAATTATTCCCAGCACCGCTCTGAATGGCTTAATTAAGCTTGGGTATACAGTTTAATTGCTATCGATGTATTTAACTTATTCATAACGATTTCAGCTAAGATTGGTGAGGTTGCTGCACCCATCGGTAGTACTAATTTTTATTTGTAAAATTTACTGTCAAATGAGAAATAAGTATGATTATACAAAAAAGCAATAATCTCTACGAACACTGTTTTTGGAATATTGCAATTCGGTTGTATTACGTCAAGATGTTCTTCTATAATTGAGGTTATTAAGTCAAGAGGTATATTGGTGAATGTTAAGACAAATAATAATAATAAATAAAAAAACTACCACCTTCGTATATTAGATTTACATAACACTGCTGCTCCACACTTCACTGAAACGTACGTTTATTATGTTTCTACCTGTTATGACTCAGTTGATTGCCTGCACTAAATTTATATTTAAATTTAATTTAATCCAGAAGTCAATTTGTTAATAATTTAAAAAACACAAAAAAAATTTTATAACTTAACTTCATGTACAAATCATGTTTTTTATATTCTTATATCATTCAACCAAACTATTTTGTCAAGTTTTAAATTTTAATATATCTGTAAATGTCCAACCCTTCTTTGGACATATTGTGTTTGTACCACTAACATAAATGAATGTAAAAGACAGCAACGAAATATTTGTGATATTCTAACATCTGCACGAATGTATTACTTACCTTTTTAGAATAATCTTCCTCTAGTTGGGAGATGCGATTGGTTTGTGTTTAAAAACAATGTGTAGTTCCACATCGATAATATTATACACTAAGAAATAATGTCAACGTTAAGTAGTATTAAAAATAACATCTTTTAATTATGATGATTGTAAAGAATGTTTTTCCATTACAGCAAGTGATGAAGCCCAAAATTATGTGGCGAAACCTTGACTTTTAGAATTTTTTTTATTTTAACTTTTTAAAATAATTTATCTATGAAAATTAATTTATTTCAACAGTTTTTTAATAATTCGTTAAATTTGAAAATCTAGTTTTATTGTAAAATTACGTATAATTTGAAATCTTCTAGTTGACTGAGTTTAATTTTTTAAAGTGCGTTTAAAAGAGTGAGCCTTTCTTTATATGCAAAACAATTTTCGACTGTTTAAAGTGTCCACATTGGTACCAGTATAATTTTAGAATTTTGCAAGCACTTAAAATGTGTTAAAAAATCTTAATTGTGTGCTCTTTTTTCCCAATTATTACTATTTTTTATACAATAAAGTTTAAATTATAAATTAAATCGGTGCATATGGTAGTTATTGATACAGGTTGGTTACATCCTGAAGTAATTCCAGCAAAAAATAGACTCCTATGGAAAATGTTCATTATGTTCTGTTATGTTCGTTATGTTCATTTTTGACAGATCCCGCCTGGTCTATATGACTTTATGTAAAACAAAGGGATTTTAACTATATATATAAAAAATAAATTTATCATAAGTTTAGTGAAGTATAATATTAAATATTAATAATAAATTAAATAATAATAAATATTTACTTACGCTAAGGTCAATAAATTCAATTGGAATTATAAGACTTAGAACCTTTGTATTATGTTTATATGAAACAAATACGTCGTCATACCTCTCAATGGTAGAAATACCACGAAGTTCACTTTGTGTTAATTTGAAGTTGGCAAGAAGAAACTAAAAAATAATAAATATGATGTATTTTTCAAAGATAAGAAATAACAATTAGTTTTTTTTTTATATCACTCAAACTCGCAATTTATATCGTTTTATATATTGCTTAAATATTATTATATAACCAGTAATATCTTATTATACAGCGAAGAGTACGGCAAGGAGATAACGTTTTTAGAACATACTTGTAAAATGGCACATCTGAACGAGCATGGTATCAATGTAAATGGAGAGAAACTCAGTCATTTGAGATTTGCTGATGACATCGTCCTTATAGCCGATCGTATGGATAATGCAATAATAATGTTTGAGAAATTATATCACGCTTCCTTGGAGGTCGGACTAAAGATTAATATGAACAAGACGCAAATAATGACTAATCTGGTGCTAAATCGAAATATTGCTGTTGATAAAAGGGATATTGTGCAGACTACATCGTATAGGTACTTAGGATATGAAATTTTGTTAGGCAGAAATAACCAGAATATGAGCTTCCACGTTGTATAAGATTAGCCTGTGCAGTGTTTGGTAGTGAACAAGATTCGCTTAACTCAAAAAGCTATGGAGCACCAGATGTTGAATGTCTCTCTTTGAGACCGAATCATAAACGAAGAAATATGTCATAGAACAAAAGCAAGAGACGTCATCGAAAAATCGCGTCACTGGAAAAACATGGAATTGCACAGGACATGTCGTCAGCTTATCAGACAACCGATGGACAAAACGTATTGTCGAGTGGAGTCCAAGACAAGAAACAATACGGAGCAGAGGACACACATCATTTAGATGGACTGACGACCTGAAGCGTGTTAGCAATAACTTGAAGCAAGCGGCACAAGACCCAGACAGATGGAAACAGCTGCGGAAGACACTGTAGTCATGAAATTCGTCTGTGATCTACGACTTTGTGCTTCCAATCTTTTCTTGGATACTTAGTTGACGGATTGCAAATTTTTTCCTCTCAGAATATGGCCCAGGTATTTAATTTTTCATGCCTTAATCAAGTCGAGTAATTCTCTTTCTCAGTACTTGTTTTTTAAGACGTTCTCGTTTTTCACCCTATTTATCCATGATATGTGGAACACTATTAGTAAGGTCCACATTAAAAAGGCATCCAACTCGGTAATGGAAAATATTTTTAATGTCCATGTTTACAAACTATATAAAAATGTGTACAATACATAGCACCTAACCATCGTTTATCCATCATCATCCAAAAAGCGAAACAATATTAAATCAAGGCTCTGAACTTATGCCAGAAATAACTCTTGAAATTAGACAAGCGATGAATAAAATAGAATCCAATAAATCACCAGGAAACGATGGAATTGTGATCAAGGCTGTTAAAAATGGCGGTGAACCTCTAATGAGTAAAATAAAAGATCTCTGTAATCTATATTTGACAAAGAAATCCATACCATCTGAATGGAATAGAGCCAAAACAATTCTTCTGCACAAAAAGGAAGAAAAAACTGATCTGGAAAATTACCGACCAATCAGTCTGTTAAACCATCTTTATAAACTTTTCACGAGAGTAATCATCACAAGATTAGACAAGAAATTAGACCTATATCAAAGTAGAAAACAAGCTAGATTCAGAGCAAACTTTGGAACCAACGATCACCTCCAAACAATAAAACAACTCATCGAGAAATCTATAGAATATAAGAAGCCCTTAATTTTAACATTCGTAGATTTCCACAATGCATTCGACTCAGTAGAACTCGACAGTGTTGTAGAAGCACTAAACGAGAGCCGAATTGATAGCCGATATTCGAGGCTAATATGTAATTTATATAAAAATGCGACAAGCTCGATACAACTACACGCTAACAGCAACCAAATTAAAATCCAAAGAGGTATCCGTCAAGGTGATACGTTGTTACCTAAACTTTTCATATCGGCTCTAGAGAAAGCGATCAAAACCCTCGAATGGGGTGACAAAAGTATAAATGTGGACGGAGAGATGCTACACCACCTAAGCCAAGCAGACGATATAGTCCTGATTGCAGACGAATTGGGACAAACAAAGAAAATGTTGGAAGAACTTAGTACAGCCTTTTATAAAATAAATTTAAAAATGAATATAACAAAAACAAATATATATATATATATATATATAATATATATATATATATATATATATATATATATATATATATATATATATATATATCTGTGGCATGAAATTAAGATAAGTAAGGACAATCAAACAATCGAATGTTCCAGACGAATAATACAAGGATGGGCAGCATACGGATCTCTTGAGAGATGCGTATGAAAATATTGCTGTTATATAGTAGCGGCTTAAATTTAATAAAAGCTTGTCTTGCTTAATCGTTACATTTTATTTTTTTGGGAGAATTTCATTAGTCATTTATCGTCATTCCCAAGTATTTGAATGTATTCACTTGCTCGATTGGAACATTATCTACTTGCAGTTGTACTCTTAAAAGTGCGTCTTTTTTTAGTTCTTCTAACATTTTTCTTCAAGCCACATGATTGTCCTACGGTATGTATTTTATTTAGCATCAACTGCGTATCATATTTGTTTTCTGTGATTGTCGGGTACCCCTTGACCTTTGTACCACACTCAGAGCTTTCAAGGGTCTCTGTAAAAACATTCTCCAAATAGAGGCTGAACAGCACAGGAGACAAAATACACCCCAATCGCATCCCTTAAAATTTCAAATAGCTCTGTGTTAATTCATTTGTTTAGCTTCAGTCACGATGTTTTATTCTAATACAGATTCTGTGTTTGAGGGTGTCAATCGCTTTTTCATAATAGAAGAATGTGATTAATGTATCCTTTCGTTAGACTATGCAGTTTTGTATGTTTTATTTTATTTTATTTCTATGTAAGTTTATTCAAGCAGAAATCTTCTTCTCGTGTACAGGGTGTCCTCAATAGTTATGTTTTACTGGGTATACCTAAAACTAGTAGAGAAGATAGAAATCGAAGATAGAAATCGAATAACGACTCCTTAATTAAATTATTGATCGCTTCTCATATTAGCGACATACTGGGCAAATATCTAAAATTGTCGAAAACGACAGGATCGTCTCAAGAAAAATTTTATTAAAAGTGTATTGGAACGTTTAATAGATATAGTTTTTCATATGTTTGATGACAAACTAACTGTACTTTATTATATATTTGATAATAAACTAACTGATGCCGGATATATGGTATTTTAAAAACAAATTTAAATAACATTTTTGATGAGAAATATTTGGCCAAGCGGAATATATTTTGATTTAAATAAGATCTAGCACCTGCCTATAATGCCAAATTCGTTGAAAGTTTTTTAAATGAAAATGGTCCTTATTCGCCAGAGCTAAATCCTCTTGATTTTTTCATTTGACGATTTTTAAAAAACAATATTTATAAAACTGACTTTAATAATAAGGAAGACTTATTACAATGTGTTCATCAACCATTTTGAAAAATAAAGCCTATGCATGTACTTAATTGTGTAAGATATGTAAGAAAAATGAGTCAATTAATATTATACTATAACAAAAAAGGGTATTTTAACAATTTGTTATAATTATTAAATTCTTGTAAAATGAATTCTACTTTTTTTTTATTGAGTTAATGCCTCGACAACTATGATCATTGGCATGGTACAGTCAGGTACCTAGTGTAGTGTGTGTGTGTGTGTGTGTGTGTGTGTGTGTGTGTGTGTAGAGTAATTGTCTTGATACTTAGCAAAGTCGACGTCATTGTCTTTGTTAAGAGACGCTAATTGTATCTGAACGTCTGCGGTCCCTCTGGTGAGTACCGATCGCACAAGGATAGAAATTATTTTCATTCATTAATTTTTAATAAACGAAAATTTCTCCACCCTGATGAGATTCGAACTCACGACCTTTAGGTTTAAAGGTAGGCGCTCTTACCACTGAGCCACAGAGGGGGTTTAAATTCTACTTTTGCTGTTCATTATTATTGTTTTTTGTATGTTTATTATAATTTTAATATTTTTGTAAAATTAATTCTCATTGTTAGGTAGTTTTTTGTTGTTATAAATTTATTATTTCCATTTTATGAGTTGATTGAACTTATTTCTTGTAAAAAAAAATGTGAAGAATTATTATCAGTAGTAATATCCCTAGGACATTGATAACAGACGAGATAATTTCATGACAATCGAAAGCTCGTTCCTTGGTAACAGCACGAAGCTGAAGGCTAAGTTACCCTAAACCCAACTGGTGCGTTAGCGCACCACTGACTAAATATGTAGTTTTATCACAATCTCATAAAAGACCAGTGTCAGCTGTCCTCGCCACTATCGGTGTTATAGATTTGACCTTAAAGGGTCTAAAGGTATTGGAATGTTGTGTTTTTGTTTTAGTCTTGTTAGAAACGCCGTTGAGTTTATATGTTTGTTAATTGGTTATAATAGTTGTTCTATTTTTATTATAATCATGGCCAAATTTCTTACACAACAACAACTTGAAGCTGCTTTAGAAGAGGTAGTTGAAGAGTTGAAAAATGATGGTACGTATTTTTATTTTTCATTGTCTTGATATGCATACCACAGTATGTAATTTTTAGGTGAACACATTGTTTATATTCCGCCAGACGTGAATGAATTAACTGATGAGGAAGATATTATAGACCCAAAGGAAATTAGAAATGAATTTACGGGCCACAATAAAGATATTGCCGGCACATTTGAAATCCACGCTAGGGAGGAAGATTTACATGATGTGCGTGTAGGTGCAAATCTTCTCCAATACATGATTGGAGAAGATTTGCGTTTCGTAGCGGAATCTTTGTTTGATAAATTCTTACATACAAAAAGTAAATCTAGATTTAAAAAAGAAAAAAATGTGAAAAAGGGTTTTAAGTGGAAAAAGGTCAATTTTTGCATAAACAGTTATCTGAATCAAATGAAAAAGCATCTACTGAATCTCTGTAGGCTTTGGAAGGACTGACACTATTAGAATTTTTTTCTATTTTTTGACTTAGATATACTAAACATGATTATTCAATATTCTTTACAATATGCTCATGCCAATAACAAACATGATTTAAGTTTAACTAGAACAGACTTTCTCAACTTTATTGGCATTTTAATTTTATCGGGATACCACACTTTACCTCAAGCCCACATGTATTGGTCACTTGACGAAGATAAATGGGTAGAGGTTGCAAAAGACTCTATAAGCCATAACGAATTTACCTCCATCAAACGTAATTTAAATTTAAGCGATAGTTCACAGCTTGAAACAAGTGATAAGTTTTGTAAATTACGCCCATTTTTTGACAAAACCAATGCGAAATTCATGCAATTTGGTATGTTCTCACACAACATATCTGTATATTAAGAAATGGTTCCATACTTTGGATGGCACTCGTGTAGGATGTTTATAAAAGGCAAGTCAATAAGGTTCGGTTTTAAACGTTGATGTATTTGTTCAAATTAACAAGTTTGTGCCCTATCAAGGTGCATTTGATGAGCCAGTGGACAAAAAACAAACATTGGTTACTAGAGTTGTTTTGGATTTATTATCAATTATTAAAAATAAGAATAATGATAACATATTTTTAAAATATTTCTTCTCATCCTATGGTTTATTTCGACCACTAAAAGAACAAGAGTTTTTGCAACAGGCATTATAAGAGCAGATAGAATAGAAGAATATCCTCTAGACTGTACAAACCTCATGAAAAAAAGCCCTAGGTGTGTTATGACTCTTACTTTAATGAATAATTTTGAAATTCGAAAATATCAGAGAATCTCAAGCGGCTCCAGTGAATGTAGGTACAAAATGAACTTCACACAGATCATTTGATTCACATTATTTTTAAGCAAGAAAGTGTAGACGTTGCATAAATATACAGTGTAGACGTGCCAAAAGTGCAAATTACACGCCAATTGTTTTTTGCAATACCATTCTTAAGCAAGTGATACGCACCAGTGTTTTTCTCTTAAGTTAAGTACATGAAAAAAATTTTTGTTGTATTTTTCCTTAATTAGGCTTTGCTTTAAGGAATAAAACTTTTGTAAAATAATATTAATTTTTCTTACCCTTGGTAAAAGATGGGTTAGAAACAACATCCTTTATTCTATTAAATTTGCAATCGTGGTGTTTATTTTCACAAAAGGACAAAAAACTATTTTTCTCTTGTAGAACAAGTAAAAGTCACCAATATTGACATATAATAACTCAATATATCGTTACACATAAATGAAATACATCCTTCATGGACAACCTGCCCAACGACTATTAACTTCATATTTAGAGGATATCCTTAATGAACTGCCGACTTCAATTTTATTGGTACATGAACTTATATTAAACAACAACTTACAACAAAATAAAATTTAAAAAACTGCTTACAATTCGCTTTTTTTAGTTATAAATCAGTACTTACGTCTTGGGCTATATCGGTAATAGCAATTGGTTCCAAGTCATGATTTACAGCGTATTTAGCTACATAACTTAGAAGTTTCTCTGCATACTCATTTAATTCTGCAGTTATGCCTTGATCGTTGCCTTTTGCCCTAAAAGGGAAATTATTAGCTTTTCTAATTAAAGGATTTGTAAATTACATTGAAATATTTTTATCAATTTTTGTAGATAATGTAATTATAATATAATTACATAAAAAATATATTTTTTGCTATTGAAAATTAACCTTTCTTTGTGAAAACTTTCAATTGCATTCAACAAAAAAAAACTGAAATAAAATAATCAAAGTTTTTGTTTTATACATACTCAAAATCTTATGAACAGCACAAAAATACAACGAATGTGTGCTAAAAACCATACACGAAGAACGAGAATTGATCAACAGCATCAAAATGAGAAATCACTTACACATAACTACATAATTATGACTTACTTTAGTTGATCATTCAGGGCAAACACACAAGAAAAACGCTGGGTCAGAAGAAATCAACTGACTGGAACGATCGAGACATTGTTTCATGTAGCTACCGACCAACAAGCATTCCAGCAGCTTGCTAACATGACGATAGCCAACAAGTGAAAACAAGTATGGCACCCAAAGAAAAATTAGAAATAATATTAAAATACCAAATCAAAGAACAGATAAGTATAGTAATTAAAAACTGATGCTTAGATCCGACGAATTGGAGGCATAATACAGAAAACCAGTATTGATTTATCGAGTACAGAAAAAAGTCACCTTAGTCACCAATCTAAATTAAAAATATACATATGGGTCGAATGGTTATACCTCTGGAACACTAGGCAAAATTAGAGGTCGTAATTTGGTGTTTCTCCTTCTTAAAGTAGTACTTACTACTTACACAGTAGTAAAGTGAATAGTGAACAGTAGTGTTGGGGAGTCAGGAGACTGAGACCTCGGAAGCCTCGAGAATGACATCAGAGAGGATGTCGAAAGCTCGGCCCAATGGATATCGACGCGCTTCAACCCGGAAAACTGGTGGGTTTAATATTAATTTTTGTAATAGTATTAATCTTAGCTCTAGGTTTAGCTAGGCTTAGCTATATATATATATATATATATATATATATATATATATATATATATATATATATATATATATATATATATATATATATATATATATATCCATAAGGAGCAACGATTGTTCAAAATCAATAAGAAGCAGTGAAAACTCAGTCAGTTAAGAGGAGAAAAGAAAAACAAGGTAGGTTTACTAATCCATATATTAGCGGAAATGTTTCATTTTCTATTTCCAAAATAGTATCAGTCCATATCTATAAGAACAAAGCTGTTCTTAGAAGGGACAGCAGTTATTTTAAATTAAAGTGAGAATGAAAATTGAAAAAATGACATCTCAATATAGAGTGAAAAGATAATTAATATAAGAAAGTGACTTACATGAAAAATAATACATTCCGTTGTTAAAAAAGCAACCAAGTTTTACAAAAAATTGGCCATAAAAATCAAAAATTCACATAGTGTATTCGTATTTGAAGGATTTATATTAAAAATTACTTAATTCATATATAAACATATTAATTGTAATATAAGTATAGGCTTAAATGTTACACTGAAGCGTGAACAAAACTATATATAACATATACTTACTCCAAACTTTTGATTAACTTTTCTACTGCTATTTTTACAAATTTCTCATAAATTTCAGTATTTTTTGTATCTCTTTGTACTTGAGCTGCCGAAATGGCAACAAAGAATAAAAATACTATAAAACTCTTCATAGTTTGAACAAACGATTGGAACTAACAGATTAATTAAATTAACTGTTCATACATTTTCTATTAGTTTTAAAACTAATTTCTTTATCTACTGATTTGACTACAAAGTAGTTTTCTTAGTCGAAATCAAGATTAAAACTGATTGATGCAAAAGATAAAAACCTGTTTGTTCTATTAGCACTTTTTTTTCTATATTTAAACTTATTTTGTCATTTAATGTTCCCTAAGAGGTCTGGTCTATAAGATACTATAAATGCAACTATGTAATTGATATAAGCATTGATAAATACTTATAATAATTATAGTTTAAATTTAACATACCTTGTTTATACATACCATAAAATACTACATTTAAATTTTAATATTATAATATCAAATTAGCACATAATCATCAAGTTAAGGTACAAATTCAGAGCGAAGTAAACAAATTCCCAGACATATCTGAAAAGCTTCAAAATTACTTGCATACGAGGATATATTGATATTAAACTAGCCTTTGATAGATGGCGCTACTTGATACCGAATTGTTTTTGGTGTTAACATTTGCCATTCATGACGTGACATCTGTCAAAATTTTAAGTTTTAAAAACAATTAGTTTGTTTTTTACAGCCGTCAAAAGCAAAAAAATTTTGTGTTTTTGGAAAAATGGAAAAAGTCGAGTATAGTTCGGTGATTAAGTTCCTCCACAAAAAGGGTAAACCGAATGTGCAAATCAAAGCCGACCTGGATGAAGTTTAAAGTGAGGTTGCCCTTCGTTAGCAACAGTAAAATTTTGGAAAGCTAAATTTGTTCGTGGTTGTATGAATGTTTTTGATGATGAGCTTCCCGGGAGGCCTAATAAAGTCATTACGCCGGAAATGATCAACGAAGTCCATGACATGATTATGGCAGATAGTCGAATTAAGCTCCTCGAGTTACTAGAGGTCCTAAACATTTCCTACGAACGCATACACAACATCATTCACTATCATTTGGATTTGAAAAATCTAAATTTTTGCTTTAATCTGTATCTTTAAAGAATTGCAAAGCAAAACAGACGATGCTAAAGATGTAAAGAGAGAAAATTGGGAATCTAAAAATTGCATTCTACAACATAATCTTCTCATCTAAGCAAAAATTCGAAATAAAAGAAAGACAGTTAAGACAGGCCATTCATCTTCCGACTTTTAGTCCGACTAGTGGTCCAACTTCTGCAGTTGGATGTAAAATCCTACCGTGAGTGGGATAGTTGGATTATTTGGACAACTAGTGGTACGAGTCGGAACATCTAGTGGGACGACTTGAAGGTCCGACTTCCGACCGGCGACGAAGTCGGAGCGTGAATGACGAAGTTGGAAGTCGGATCACAGGTCGGATCGAAAATTTCCTGTCAGTTTATCTTCGGCACCTGTTACCTATGAGATTTCTATGAATTACTTTACGCAAATATCCCTAGTTCGTAAATTATTAATAGAAAATAAACTTGCAATTGCACGTAAATTACCATTATTAAAATACACGATTTTTAATCAACATCTACTTTTTGTTAGAACAAATCATGTTTCTTTCTGTAGATCTATTTTGGACACTCCCACACAAGTACAATTTCCAACACTCCGGATTGGTTACAGAAGAATTATCAACAAACAACGAAAATTATATCATAGTTTTAGGAAAGACCCCTAGTTCGCAAATAAATAATAGAAAATAACTTTCAATTGCACGAAAAATTATTCCTATTAAAAATATACGACACACACACAACAAGATAAATCCCAGCTTCAGTTTAAAACAAGTTTTTATTTCTTTTTAAAATAGAATATACCTACACAAATCCTTAAAAACTAATTTTTTCCTACATCTTAAAAAGTCATAAAAATCAAGAGTCGAAAAAATGAATTAGTTCAGCCCTAAACAAATAACTAGAGAAACGAAACCTAATTTTTAAACATACATATCAAACAAACACAATGCTGCCATTTTCCTTCTCATAATTATATTTTGCATAGTGTTTAATCGATACATTTTTTGATTAAGCGATGTACCCGTCGTGAAAACAGAACTGAAGTTGGACCGCTAGTTGGACAGAAAGTCGGAGCGTGAGTGGAGACGAATATCCAACTAGTAGTACTACCATTGCATTGTTTAAATAGGACTAAACAATGGTACTACTAAGTGGGACCGCAAGTCGGAACGTGAATGGCCTGCTTAAGATTTGATTTCATTAAGATTTAAGTACTTTTTAATTAATCAATTAATACCTTTTAGTCCGTTTTTCCTGTTTGCTTTTATATATTTATATAGTTTTTATATTATAATACCCGGATATTAGGGTATGGCTGCAAAATCTTCGCATCCAAAGCGTATGAGGGTGAAAAAGTACGAAAAAGTTACGACAAGTTGTGATTCTGAGAGTCATATTGTTCTGAAGCTATTTTCTTGTGGCATTGTAAATTAATTACTATTTATAACTGGGAATAAGCCACAATTAAAGATAAAAATACGTTTATTGACGTTTCAATTTCCAATTCGGAAATCGTTCTCAAAATACAAACAGTAAGTTAAACAAATTTTGTTTTTTGTTACATAGTGAAAAAATTCTTCTAATAATTTAATTTTATCTGACTCATTTATATTGACAATTCAGACATACATTATGCATTTTAAAGTAGATGACTTTAAAATGATATTGCCAATATTGTTGAGTTGCGCTCCTGGGACGACTTTACTTATAAGATAGTTCATTCGATTACATGAAATCAACTTTAACTTGAGAATATCCGTCAGAAAAAATCATAGCATCTAATTCGTCTTTAAAAAGACAAACACATGACATGATGACAGTAAAATTCTCCTGTTAGTGATTCCATAGTAAATTATGAGGGAAAAACCAGGAAAAAAACCTCATAATACTATCCCGACATTTTAAGTATTTGTTCGTGAATTTAGTTTACCTTCAACAAACATCAAAAATTCTGATTTTATATGTTACGTTATTTAAAAACATAAATGATGTATCCTCCATATGTTACTGACTTACTAATACTGGTATTTTCTTATTAATAACTTCCTCTTTCAATATTGGTAACCAGATCCTACTACATTCTGCCGAGGAATTTGCGACACAATTGGCCTCATTTAGCATAATTAGAGCCGCTTCTTTGATTTTTCTTTTTTTACCATCCGTTTCTTTTAGGACTATATTTGAATTATTCCATTGAACCCTATGTTCATTATCCCAAGCGTGTTTACATATTTGAGATCTATCAAATTCTCTATTTTTAATATAAGATTGATGTTCACTTATTCTAACATTTAATGGCCTTGATGATTCACCTAAATAAAACTGATCGCATTCACAAGGTATTTTATAAATGCAATTCTTTGTCCTTTCTTGTTCATTGTTAGGTTTGGTTTTGGACAAAATAGATCTCAACGTGTTTGTTGTTTTGAATGTTGTTGAAATGTTGAATTTATTTCCTATCCTTTTAAGTTTTTCTGATAATCCTTTTATGTACGGTATTGTTATTTTCCTCATATTATTCCTTGTGTATGCTGTAGGATCTCGTTCTAAGTTGTTCTGTTCTATTCGATCGATTGTTGAAAATTCCTTATTTATAAACGATAAAGGATAATCATTTTTTAATAAAACAGATGTTAACAAATGTTTCTCCTCCAAGAACGAATTTTCGTTAGAACAAGTAATTTTGGCTCTATCGTATAAGGATTTAATTATTCCCTTTTTTACATTAATATTGTGATTTGATTTGATGGTAAAAAAAGAAAAATCAAAGAAGCGGCTCTAATTATGCTAAATGAGGCCAATTGTGTCGCAAATTCCTCGGCAGAATGTAGTAGGATCTGGTTACCAATATTGAAAGAGGAAGTTATTAATAAGAAAATACCAGTATTAGTAAGTCAGTAACATATGGAGGATACATCATTTATGTTTTTAAATAACGTAACATATAAAATCAGAATTTTTGATGTTTGTTGAAGGTAAACTAAATTCACGAACAAATACTTACAATGTCGGGATAGTATTATGAGGTTTTTTTCCTGGTTTTTCCCTCATAATTTCCTATGGAATCACTAACAGGAGAATTTTACTGTCATCATGTCATGTGTTTGTCTTTTTAAAGACGAATTAGATGCTATGATTTTTTCTGACGGATATTCTCAAGTTAAAGTTGATTTCATGTAATCGAATGAACTATCTTATAAGTAAAGTCGTCCCAGGAGCGCAACTCAACAATATTGGCAATATCATTTTAAAGTCATCTACTTTAAAATGCATAATGTATGTCTGAATTGTCAATATAAATGAGTCAGATAAAATTAAATTATTAGAAGAATTTTTTCACTATGTAACAAAAAACAAAATTTGTTTAATTTACTGTTTGTATTTTGAGAACGATTTCCGAATTGGAAATTGAAACGTCAATAAACGTATTTTTATCTTTAAGGCTGTTTTCGCAGCTAAAGCATATTGCGATTTGAAGTGGGCGTATCACTTACTTTTCTACACTGCTTACGTCAGACCCTACGTGACTTCCTAATGTGAAATCTGCACTGTTAATTTTTTTTATGTTTATTCAGTGGCGCCGACCTACGGGTTGTTTATTGACAATAAATACATTATTCTCCATTCAAATTAGTTTTGTCGGAATACTTTTTTAGATTGATTATCGTAGATAATGTTTTAAAAAGAATTAATCACATTTTTAATTTATATGTCTTAGCTAACTATAGTATTAAATAACAATTTGTGAAACGTGACTGCAAAAAATACCATGGTGTTTATTTATAATAAATTTAAAATAACATAAGAATATTATTATCAAAAAAATTATAATTTGTTGTCACAAACAAATAAAAAATTTCGCAGTTATAGCTTGAAAATGATTTCAAGAAGTTATTTATTTGTTAGAGAAAACTGATATTAGCGTAGTAAAAATTAAACAAAAAATATGTTATCTATAAAAATATATTTATCTATAAAAAATTGGTACCTGCGAAACGATCATAATAGTAAATGTATTTATCTGGCAAGTACTTCGAGG